GTTTTTTTTTTTTTTTGGTTGGGGGACTTTTGATGACTGTTTATATTTCTTCAGCAGTTATAGGTCTGTTTAATTTGCTTATCTGGTCTTGATTTAATTTTGGTAAGTGATATTTATCCAGAAAGTTGTCCATTTCCTTTAAGTTTTCCAATTTTGTGAAGTACAGGTTTTCAAAATATGACTTGATGATCCTCTGTATTTCTTCCTTGTCTGTTGTTATGTCCCCCTTTTCATTTCTGATTTTGTTAACGTAGTCTCTCTCTGCCTTTTGGTTGGTTTGGATAAAACATTTGTCTATTTTGTTGATTTTTCTCGAAGAACCAACTCTTTGTCATTGATACTTTGTATTGTTTTCTTTGTTTCTATTTTGTTGATTTCAGCTCTCAATTTGATTATTCCCTGCCCTCTAGTTCTCTTAGGTGAGTTTGCTTCTTTTTGTTCTAAAGTTTTCAAATGTTCTGTTAGTTCACTAGTGTGGGATTTTTCTAGCTTCTTTATGTAGACGTTTAGTGATATGAACTTGCCTCTAAACGCTGCTTTCATTGTGTCCCATAAATTTGGGTATATTGTATAGTCATTTTCATTGAATTTTAGGAAGTCTTTAATTTCCCCCTTTATTTCTTCCTTTATCCATTGATGATTCAGATGAGCATTGTTTAATTTCTATGTGTGGGTTTTCTGGAATTAGTATTGCTGTTGACTTCTAGTTTTAGACTATTGTGATCTGATAAGGTACAATGGGTTATTCCAATTTTTTTTTTATTTGTTGAGGTTTGTTTTGTTACTGAATATGTGGTCAGTTTTTGAGATGGTTCCATGAGGTGCTGAGAAGAAGTTATATTTTTTGTTTGGATGAAATATTCTATAGATGTCTGTTAAGTCCATTTGAGTCATAACATGTTAGTTCTCTTATTTCTCTGTTCATTTTTTGTCTGATTGACCTCTCCAGTGGTGAGAGAGGAATGTGGGGTTTAATATATGATTTAAGCCTTAGAAGTGTTTTTTGACATATGAGGGTGCCTTTGTATTTGGGGCATAGATGTATATGTTCAGTATTGAAATTTCCTCTTGATGGATTTTTCCTGTGACTAATATGAAATGACCTTCTTTGTCTCTTTTGACTGACTTTAGCTTGAAGTCTGTTTTCTTGGATATTAGGATAGCTACACCTGCATGTTTCTTAGGTCCATTTGATTGGTATATTTTTTCGCAGCCCTTTACTCTGAGACGATAGAAAGACACCATTTAAAGATGAGCTTTGGAATACAAACTGCTCAGAAGAATTTTGAGGTGACTAGCTGAGATGGTCCTGCCTGACAGACTACTCCAGCCAGGACTCAAGCCCTGCACTGTACTGTTATTGCAGAGCCTGGGCAACAAATGATACAGCTACCTCTCCCAGGACTTGACAATTAATTCAAATTTTTCTTTTCAGGATCCCCTAAAGATACCATCACTTCCAGACAGCAGGAAGTAAATTTAAGAATACGACATCTGGGTGGTGGCTTGGGCAGGACGCACGTGGTGCAGAACAAGATGATGGATGCAGAAGTGATTACTTTGCCAAAGAAGCATAAAAAGAAAAAAGACCAGAAGCCATTACGAGAAGATGATGTAGCTGAAATACAACATGCTGAAGACTTTCTTATCAAACCAGAATCCAGAGTGGCTCAATTGGACACTTCTCAGTGGCCCTTGTTACTAAAGGATTTTGATAAGCTAAATGTAAAGACAACACACTATACGCCTATTCCTTGTGGTTCAAATCCTTTGAAGAGGGAGATTGGGGACTATATCAGGACAGGTTTCATTAATCTTGACAAGCCTTCTAACCCCTCTTCCCATGAGGTGGTAGCCTGGATCCGACGAATACTTCGGGTAGAGAAGACAGGTCACAGTGGCACACTAGATCCCAAAGTGACTGGTTGTTTAATTGTGTGCATTGAACGAGCCACTCGTTTGGTGAAATCACAACAGAGTGCAGGCAAAGAGTATGTGGGAATTGTCCGCCTGCACAATGCTATTGAAGGCAGCACTCAGCTTTCTAGGGCCCTAGAAACTCTGACAGGTGCCCTGTTTCAGCGACCCCCACTTATTGCTGCAGTAAAGAGGCAGCTTCGAGTGAGGACGATCTACGAGAGCAAAATGATAGAATATGATCCTGAAAGAAGATTAGGAATCTTTTGGGTGAGCTGTGAAGCTGGCACTTACATTCGGACACTATGCATACACCTTGGCTTGTTACTGGGAGTTGGTGGTCAGATGCAGGAACTTCGCAGGGTGCGTTCTGGAGTCATGAGTGAAAAGGACCACATGGTGACAATGCATGATGTACTCGATGCTCAGTGGCTGTATGATAACCATAAGGATGAGACTTACTTGCGGCGTGTTGTTTACCCTTTGGAAAAGCTGCTGACATCTCATAAACGACTGGTTATGAAAGATAGTGCAGTGAATGCAATATGCTATGGGGCCAAGATCATGCTTCCTGGTGTTCTCCGATATGAGGATGGCATTGAGGTCAACCAGGAGATTGTGGTCATTACCACCAAGGGGGAAGCTATCTGCATGGCTATTGCATTGATGACTACAGCGGTGATTTCTACCTGTGATCATGGCATAGTAGCCAAGATAAAGAGGGTGATCATGGAAAGAGACACTTATCCTCGGAAGTGGGGTTTAGGTCCAAAGGCAAGTCAGAAGAAGATGATGATCAAGCAGGGCCTTCTAGACAAGCATGGCAAACCCACAGACAAAACCCCTGCCACTTGGAAGCAGGACTACATTGATTACAGTGATTCTGGCAAGGAGGCACTGGTTGCTGAAGCCGGACGAGCCCCTCAGTTAACTGCTGCTGCAGTAAAAGCCATGAAAAGGAAGCGGGAGAGTGAGAGTGAAAGTGACGAGACCCCTCCAGTAGTCCCCCAGGTGATGGAGAAGGAAAAGAAGAAAAAGAAGGACAAGAAGCCTAAAACTGTGCCAGAAAGTGGGGGCGAAGCTGGACATGGGGACAGTGATACCAGCAAAAAGAAAAAGAAGAAGAAAGTAAAAGTGGTGGAAGAGATATCTGAATAGTAAAAGCCACTTGAAGCATCATGTCAAACTGGGAGGAGAAATGAAAGCCTTATTGAGAAAACATTTTGTTGAGGGAGTAGAACAGAGGACCCAAACAGAATAGAGTTCTGGTACACTTTTCCTGCCACTTGTGATCTCAGTGGTTAGGGTGTGGCCATCTTGTTCTGTCCTGTTTTAAGAGATGAAACACAGGTTTTTTTTCCACTGACCCCTTTGCTTGCTTGAGGTGGGGAAGCACACCTTCAGACATGAAACTGCCTCGTCACTGTTTGTGACTGTTTACTAGTGGCCATTTTAAACAATGCCATAGATAGTCCTCTCCTAGTTTGCTTTTTTTATGTTTGTAAAAATTAACTCTGCTGAATAAAATGGTATAGAACCTTAAAAAAAAAGGAATATGACGTTCACATTCCCAAGAGGTGGGTGGTTTTTGGCCATTCAATGGGTTATGGATATTTGTCATTGTTTAGGGGGGTTGGTTACAAGTTGTTATTGGTTACAGTTAGAGGAAAAGCTAAACAAAGGAAATTAGATTCAAGGTTCTTATTTTGAAAAGAAAAAAGGAGGATATAAATATAGGATAAAAAGGTAGATTATTGAATCTACTCTGCAAAGAAAAAAGGGGAGGATATAGATATGGTAAGATAAAAAGGTAAATTATTGAATCTACTTTTTTAAAAAAATTTTTAAAGATTTATTTATTATATATACACTCTTCTGCCTGCATGCCAGAAGAGAACACCAGATTTCATTACGGATGGTTATGAGCCATCATGTGGTTGCTGGGAATTGAACTCAGGACCCCCTGGAAGAGCAGCCAGTGCTCTTAAATTCTGAGCCGTCTTGCCAGCCCTGAATCTACTTTTAAAAAGCAACTATTAGTTTTAAATGTTTTACATTGGATTGGATTTTTATATATTGTATACAAATTTTGTATATTTGTATTAACAAATTTGAAATTAATTTTGTTAGAATATACTATACATACATTTTTACTGTTGTTCAAGGTATGTTGTACCTATTCAACTCATTTAACAATGATGCAAATTTCTAGTCCTTAAATTTTTATTACCAACTATTTAGTATAATAAGGAAATGCAGGTTAGTAGTTAATCACCTATTATAATTGAATTTATAGTCACCTTAAATATGTTTTCAAGGTCAAACAAAGATATATATTAGATAGACAGGTCATCTTCAAACACTTCAGAGATCTACAGACTATGGCATTTAAGGTGTTTTCATAACATAAGGCTTTTTATGATGGTGATATACATCTGCTCCTAGCAGCACCAATCTGCTTCAGAGAAGATAATGGGCATTGAAGAAACTCCATATGGAGTTTACTTTACTTGTGGCAAAAACAAGCCACCAGGCAAGAAAATGCCCTTGCCTTGACTGCTGACAGTATGCTGTCCTAATTGGACAAGCAGAACACAAAGAAAGTGACTGCCAAACATTGTCAAGGCAAGAGAGAACAGCCCTTCAGAATACCCTGCTTCACAGAAAAGTCTGTCGAATATGCTAAGCCTGTCTACTGAAGGTTGGTGCCCCAATGTTTCAGAAGAACTTTGAGTGACAGTCCAGGCAGCTAGTTCTTTCTGTCATTTCTCACAACTTTTGGGATTTGCTTCTGGCACTTCCTGTTTACTCAATTAATATTATTTCTTTCTTAGGTCTCTGAGGGAGTTGAAGACTAGATAGTTATAGTTTTCCTTGATTACCAGATGCAGAAAGCAAGTTATGATAGAAAGAAAATTAGGTACAAGAATTTGGACTCACCAAGATAGATATGGAGTATTTTCTCTGAATTTGTCAGATGCAAATGAACTAGATATTGTTGATGTATTTATAGCCTATATATACTGTATATAGTTATTGTACTTATATATAATTTTCTTAGATTATAACCTTTATTTTAGACAAAAAGAGGGAAATATAATATTTGTATTTTAATAAGTGAAGCTTATCTGAAGATCAGTGCAAAACAGCCACACTAATCAACCATACAAGCCAGGCAGTGGTGGCACATACCTTTAATCCTAGTAGGTATATTAGTAAGCCACAGAGGCCAGGTAGTAGTGGTACAAGCCTTTAATCCCAGCACTAGAGAGGAATATAAAGAAGGATGAGACAGGAACTCGCTCTTTTTCAGTTTGAAGATTTAATAGAGGTAAGAACTCTCTAGTGGCTTGGCTGCTTTGCTTTTCTGGTCTTTGGGTTGAACCCCAATATCTGTCTCAGTTTTTATTATTCATGCTCCACCTATTCTTAGTGATTCTACTCTTAAGAAGTCACTTAAGGAAATTGGAAGACTTTGAATCAAGAGTTGAAGCAAGAATGAAGAAGTTAGTGTGGGGTAGGTATCTAGTTGACAGCTGTACATTGACAGGGGTTGGAGTGGACAGGCGGGTGTGGGTTCGTGCTGGGAAACCCCAAGAGCAAAAGAAGGGTGATAAGATACTGAAGAGTAACATGACTTTCAAATAATCTAAAATCATAGTATATAATAAAGTTTAGGGTCCAGTGATGGTGGTGTGCCAGGAATTAGAGGTCTTAAACCAGACCAATGACCCATGGTCAAAGAACATTTTCAAGGAAAGCCGAATGGATAAAAGGCACGCTGGGTGACATACCTCAGCTCCCACTTCCACTCAGACAAATGAAAGTGCAAGAGAAGTGGGAAAGATGGAGGAGCCAGTGGGGGGTGGGGCGTGACACATATCTTTAATCCCAGCACTCAGGGAGGCAGGAGGCAGGCAGATCTCTGTGAGTTCGAGGCCAGCCTGGTCTATAAGAGCTAGTTCCAGGTTAGTCATGGCTCACAAAGAAATCCTGTCTCGAAAAACAAAAAAACACAAACAAAACATCAGCAATAACAAAAAAAAAGATGGAGGCGCCAAGAGGGCTTCTTTTTGTTGTTTTGTTTTTATTGTTTAGTTAGTTGGTGGGTTGATTGGTTTGGTTTAATTTTTCTTGTTAACTTTTCTTTTGCAGGAGCGGGGCACTGCAAGGGTGAAGAGCAGACAGGACTGGGGAATGAGCGGAATTGGGGCACATGATGTGAAGATTCCAAAGAAAGTATGTTAAAAAAATAAAGAATAAAGTTTAGGGTCGGCAGGATGCCTCATCATTTATAAGCACCTGCCAAGGAGTCTGACAGCTTGAGTTCGATCCCCTGGCCCCACACGCTGAAGAGCCGACTCCTGAAGGCTGTCCTCTGACCCGCACATGAACATTATGGCAAGTGCTCAGACACAGGCTCACACACACAGCAAGCAAACACATAAATGTGATGAATTCGATAGTTTAATGCTGCAGGTAGGAACTGCCTGTAGTTCCAGTCTGAGAAGGTACTCGTAGGAGGATCCGGAGCTCACAGTCATCCTCCTTTACTCAGGAGACCTCATTTCAATAAACGAAAAAGCATGATTTAAAGAATGGTGCATTGTTGGCTTGGGAGACAGAGGCAGGAGAGTCCACACGTTCGGGGCCACACAGGGCCGCACAGTGGGACTTTCCCTCAAAAAGCCAAGATAGGCAAATAAATAATTCAACGTAGGTTGGTTGTAGTTTTCTCATGGCATAGACAGTGTTGCAGCAAGCCGAAGGGCCTCCACAAGGTGGCGCTCTGACTACATCTATCGCTGAGACTGGCTTCAGAGCGCTTTATTCGGTTACTCCTCGCTCAGTCTGTAAGAGCCCTAACTAGAGGTCTGTCACACTCCAGCCATAGTCAGCCCCCCTATCATTAGTGCCAAGCCTTCCTCCTGGAGCAATGACAGTGTCAATTTCAGCAATGGCAACGAGGGAACAAATACAGCTGTTGTGCCTTTTAGAGTAATTGCTACAGGCCCTTTGGAGACAGCATTGTAATCACAGCGCTTATACAGACTTATACAATATTTCTGTTTCCTATTTTAAGCCCTGTTAGCATTCTGTGTCATAAACTTGTGAATCTAGTCAATTCATGGGAGTCTGGAATGATCTGTCCACAATTTTACAATGTGCTTGTGGTCCCCTGGAAGGCACAAGTCTCTCTCTCTCTCTTTTTTTTTTTTTTTTTTTACTACCTTGCTGTCACTCTGTTACCTGTACTCAGGACAAGGACAAAGGTCACTCTCTCTAAACAAAAGAAAACAACAAAACAAAACACAAAACAAAATGCACACACACAACAACAACAAAGCCCTGAGGTCTCATATAGCTTGCAATGGCCTCCAATTCTCTCTGTAGCTGTAGGTGGCTTTGAGTTCTTAATCCTCCTTTCTCTACTACCTCAGGGCTGGGTTTACTGTCTCGTGCTAAGACTTTCTTAGCTTCTGTAGTGTCATAGATGGATCCCAGGATTTATATGTGCTAGGCAATTACTCTACCTATTGAGTTATATTCCCCCGCTTCCTAGCCGCTGTCCCCACCAAGATAGGGTCTTGCCTTCTGTTCTTAATGTAGCCCAGGCTGTCCTTGAACTTGCTTTATAGACTAAACTCACCTCAAATTTTCAGTGATCCTTCCTCATTGGTCTCCCAAAGGCTGAGATTAGAGGTATATTGTCTCCAAGCCTGGGTACAAAGGCCACTTTCCTCTGCCCTGTCTGGCTTCTTCCTATCTACTTCTCCATCTTTTGGCTTTTGTGGAGGGTAGGGGAGGAGTTGGTTCAAGACAGGGTTTCTCTGTATAGCCCTGGCTGTCCTGGAACTTTCTCTGTAGACTGGGCGGGCCTTGATCTCAGAGATCCTCTTGCCTCTGCCTCCTGAGTGCTGGGATTAAAGAATTCTTCCCTAGCCACCACTGTCTGGCTAGGAAAGAATTCAGGACGGTGGCTGCCTCTTCTCTAGTGGTCGGGAAAGAGCTCTGAAAGCTTATCTTCAATCTCCACCCCAGTTCTCTGGTACTTTCTTATCTTTTCATTGTTTATGCCCAGCACACTTCTCAAGTAGAAAAGGAAGGACTGGGCAAGTAAACAAACCAGCTTCTAAACTGGGTGTCGTAGCTCACGCCTGTAATCCTAGCACTCAGGCTGTTAGGCAGGAGGATTGGCACATAGCCTTGGCTGACCCAGAACTCTTCCTGTAGACGAGGCTGGCCTTGAATGCACAGAGATTCGTCTGGCTCTGCCTCCTGAGTGCTGGGATTAAAGGTGTGCGCCACCACTGCACAGCGTTCATTGCAAAGAGTCGTTGGTCTGGTTTGAGGCCTCTGGGTTCTGCTACACTATTGATGTTGGGCCCTTACTGGGATTCCTCTTGGCTATCCTGTTGTTGTCCTGTGCCATGGAGGTCTTGCAACTTTGGGCCTGCAGGACCGACCCCTTCATATGCTCCAGCAGATAGATGGGATGGATATTGAGGTGGGCCAATTCATAACCCTGGTTCTGGGCCAGGGTAGTTACAGGGTTGGTCAGTCTGCCAGCTCTCCCCTGTCTTTGACACCAGAGTGAGATCTCCAGCATTACCCTGGCTAGTTCACCCCTGGAAGCAATAAGCAAGGGGCAAAGCCAGTTTTCCTGCTTTTACAGCCTTGGGGTCTGCACTTCCACACCTACACCTTCAGGCCTAGCTCTGTTATGTTGCTCAAGAGAGGTATACGGGCCACCTTCCCAGGTGCTGTAGCTAGTGAGGGGCAGAGCCAGCCCTCCTACCTATTATATACAGCGAGGGGGGAGGCATCTCTCCCCGCTCTCCACCTACGCCATTGTATGGCAGATGAGGGACACAGCCAGATCTCCCTGCTCATGTTCTCCGGGTGGTCCACCTGCGCCCCTGACGATAGGGTGTTGCCAGGATGAGGTGCAGGGCTCACTCTTCTGAGTGCTGCAGCTGATAAGAGGGAGGGTCAGCTCACTCCTCTGTTGCAGGCAGTGAGGGGTAAGGGGGTATCTCTTCCCCACCCACACTGCCACATGACAGACTCAAGAGTAGTGAGGACAGCCTTCTCATGCTCACAGCCTTGAGGCTGGTTCACCAGACTGGCTCTATTGTGCTGCCCAGGTGAGGTGCAGGGCCTGCTCTCCTGAGTGCTCCCCTGCTTTCTTATAGAACTCAGAACCACTAGCCCAGGGATGGTACCATCCATAATGTTCTGGATTCTCCCCCATCAATCACTAATTAAGAAAATTTTCCCAATTGATGTTCCCTTCTATCTGATGACTCTCTCCTGGGTCAAATTGACTAAAATTAGCCAGAACAACTACGTAGTAAGTTCCATGCCAGCCTGGACCTAGGCCACAAAGTGAGATTTTGTCCCAGTGATAACAAAAACAGAATTCAAAATGGAATCAGCAAAAGTGGGAAGGCAATAGGAGGGGAATGAGTGTGATAAAAATACATTATATACGTACATGGAACTATCATAATAAAAATCTGTTTTTATATATAATTAATACATCCAAATAAGAAACTTTAGACATAGGACTGGGACAATGGCTCACAAACATGAGGACCTGAATTCAAATCCCTAGCACCTGAAAACCAAATATGGCCAAACCAACCTATAATCCCTGTCTCAGGAATATGGATCAAGGGGAAGATAATTTCTGGGGGCTTACTGATCAGCCAGCCTCCCCTCCTCCCCCAAATAACCCATCTTCAGGTTCAGTGAGAGATACTATTTCACGGGCATAAGGTGGAGTGCCAACACAAGACAGCAGTATCTTCCTCTGGCCTCCACACATCCATACATGTATAGTCCTCTCTCTTCCTCCCTTCCTCCTTCCCTCCTTCCCTCCCTCCCTCCCTCTCTCCCTCCCTACCTCCCTACCTCCCTCCCTCCCTCCCCATTCTCTCTATCAATGTGGGAAACTCCTGGAAGTTTACTGACTTGGCTCATCTGGCTGGTCAGCAAGTCTCAGGGCTCCTCTGCCTTCTCAGGGCTGGGACTGTGGGACTGCATAACTAGCCTGGCTTTTCACATGGGTTCTGGTGATTGAACTCAAGTCCTCAGTGCTTACCTGGTACTCCAGTCACAGTTCTATTGCTGGATGAGGCATGATGACCACAGCAACTCTTATAAGAGAAAGCATTTGACTGGGGACTGGTTTACAACTTCAGAGATTTAGTCCTTTATCATTATGGTGGGAACCATGGCAACATGCAGGCAGGCAGGAGCAGTAGTTGAGATCTAGAGAGACTGGGCCTGGCATGGGTTTTTGAAGCCTCAAGGCTCACCCCCAGTGACACACTTTCTCCAACAAGGCCACACCCCTAATCATTTTCAAATAGTGCCACTTCTTGATGACTAGGCATTCTAATAGCTGAGCCTATGGGGCCATTCTTAAACCACCACACCTGGCAGGCACTTTACTGACCACTCCTCAACCCCCACCCCATGACACCCCTGTTTAAAACAGTCTTCCTGGGTAGCTCTGGTTTTCCATGAATTCATTACATAGCCCAGTCTGGCCTCAAATTCATGACAATCCTCCTGCCTCACCTTCCCAAGCAGCAGGGATTAATGATGTGAGTTACCACACTTGGCTCAGTTCCTTCTGTGTCAGGGAGTCTATCTTACTCCCGAGGACTTTTTTTCTTTTGTGGGCTGTGGACCCCCAAAGATAGCATCTTGAGTGTGGGCCTGAGAAAGCTGGACCCCTTTAAGTATGCTCTTTCTGTGTACGCCAAAAGTACCGTTTCTGTTCATTTGTTCACTTTTCCTTACTTCCATCCTTCTGAACATTTGCTGAGCATCCATTGGCTCTGTGCTGGAGTTATGGAGACAAACAGGACCACCTTCACAATATCCACGGTGTGATGGTTAGCTATAATTGTCAACTTGACACAACCTAGAATCAACTGGGAAGAGGGATTCAATTCGGAAAGGAATTGTCTATATTGGTTCAGCCTGTGGGTATGTCCTAAAAGACACCATAGCCTAGGTTACCCTTTAACTCACTCTAATCTCAGGCAATAGTATCCCAAGAACTGTGCCTATCTGCACAAGCCATTGGGACTGCCCATGTTAATTAACTGATCAATAAATAACCAGAAAAATATATTTTATTTAATGCAAGTTTCTATTTAGAGGGAAATCAAACAGAGCATAAACTTGGATTTGAAGTGAGGCCTCAGTAGTCGAGTTGATATTTATTTCATGAAGTAATGAAAATTACATATGGGATGGGGGCTGTGATGTAACTCCGTTGGTAGAGTGCTTGCCTAGCACACACAAATGGAGTCCAGTCCCCAGCATCATCGAAAAACAGATGTGCTGGAGCACACCTGGGATCTCAGCATTCAGAAAACAGCCAAGAGGACCAAAGTCCAGTGCCATCCTCAGGCTGACTTGCACTCCACAAGATCTTGTGCAAAATAAAATAAACAAGTCAATGAATGACAAATGGAAAGATAGTGTATGTCTGTAATCTCAGGGATGCTGAAGCAGAAGGATCACTATGAAGCAGTGCCTATAGACAGAGACTGTCTCAAAAGGCAAAGAAAAAGCAACAGCACAGAAAATAAATTGCAGGAAGGGATGTACTCAGTGGATACTGAGCTTGGTTAGAGCACTGATCTGTTCTCCTCCTCCATCCAGCCTCACCAGATGTGTTCAGAAACCTTGGTTCTCCTTGAATATGTACATCTGTCAAAATTCTTGTCAATTTTAGCACAACTGCCAAGGGACTGAACAAAGAGAGTTAGCGATTAACTTCAAAGAACTTTGTTGGAGAGGAATAAAGATATTTAAGGCCTATTTTGTGAACTAATTGCATTTGCATATTTATGGGATTTACTGATATAGCAGTAATTAAAAACTATTTAGTAGTCTTAAAGGACACATAACTCAGTCGCCGTTTGCATAATAAACACTTCCTTATTATGTTTGCATAATAAGCCCTCTACCCCTGTTTCTCCCAGAAGAGGTTGGTCCATTTAAGAGGTGCCACATCTTACTTGGTGC